CAGGTACATACTTCTTTTAGAAGGAATTACACCATATTTGGGAACCCAATTCTGATGTCATGCAACGAGCAGACAAATGCTTCAAATGGGTTTGCATCGAGTATAGGATATCAATACTTAGTACTCAAGAGACACTCAAATGAGCATATGAAAACATGCAAGCATATGTGCACCCAAGGAAAATAATAAGCATACAAGAAGTAAAACGACAAGCATACAAAATGCAAAGTGTCATAAAGCTAGGTATTGAGATTCGTGCCAAGTGAGGAACACATACCCAAGTGGGCATACGTTGCACCTCACACGAGTTTAGTGGATGAAGAGCATGGATTGCGGTAAGCACAAAGTGAAATACTTATGACACTCTAGAGGGTGTTATAAAGAGCGATGTAGCATTACTCTCACAAAAGAGAATCTAGCAACGAGTGGCTATATATGTGAGCCACCTCCTCATGAAGTATGCAAGTATCTATTCCAGCGCATACAGTGAAGTATGTGAGGAAGTTACTTGCAGATGCAGTTGCTCCAAGAGACATCATGAGTAAGGGTGCTCAAAGAGAAGTCCAAACACACAACATGCTATAAAACATACAAGGCAAACAAATAAAATGCAACATCTTACAAAGCTACAATGCATACCTTGGATCAGCTCTCCTTCAGTTGTTGGAATCTCTCCTGCAAATAAAAGAAGTTACATTTAGCTAAAGCAAACATGTATTAACATCAAACCAGTTTAGCTCGTCAATTACCTGAGTCACACCGGATCTGTTATCGATCCAAGACTGGTTGGGTTGCCTCTTATGGTTTAATTCATATACATTGATGGCGGAGAGCTCTCGTCCAATCTCCACAGTCTATCCTTAAACTGAAATAGTTAGAATACATCTTCAATATATAAAAATTATTTTAAAGTAAATGAAATCTTATCAGCCTCCACTTATATTCCGTTTGTGGGAACGCCACACCAGTGTGCTTAGAGGGCCCCATGCCTCCGTAGTCTGATGCCTATTCTGCTTTCCATGCTCTCTCTTCTTGGAATAAATGTATTCAACTAAATACATCGTATTTAATTATTTCTGTAGATCTACTGGCCAATTGGTAACAAGATGTGATGAAACCTAACAATATCAACACATTTTACAAGGTGTGAACATTTTAGATGGCTTTGAAGTCTGAACATTGGCAATTACGACTGTCAAAAATTAATTATTGACAAACATTTGTCCATATTTTTCTCTCATCTTAGTTGTCATTGTAGCTATAACAACCCTTTCGGAGACAAAATATGACAGAAATTTATCCGTGCAAAGGCTAGTGTAGCTAAAATGTCATACAATATTAGAGAGAGTTGTTCTAATGGATTGATAATCAATGTTTTTGACCAATAATGATATTCAATGGAACTAACATTACTAAAAATGTCAAATGATCCAACTTATACTAGATCTAATTTTCCAGATATATTATCATTGGTCACTGTAGCTACACCAAACCTTGCACAAGTTTATTTCTTTTGCATTTCAATTTACAAATGGAAAGTCAATCATAGCATTAAACATATTCATTGCTGCAAACCCCATACTAGATTGACTGCACACATAGAAATATGTTCTCATAAGGAGATATTTCATATTATGTAAGAGATTTCACTACTTGCGAAGTCTAATTTTCATCTCGAAAACTCATCTGCATTACCAAAATGGGATTTGCGGCAACAAAAAATGGATTTCAAAGTAAGTTTTCATTTCGGTGCATCCTCCTGCAAATATCTAGTAAGAGCATCCATAAATAAATCAAAAACACATGTGATTAAAGTCAATCCTTATGTTAATTAGGGCATTAACAATCCAATTTCAAGCCGAACTGGGGCTCAAAATCGGCTCGAAACAAATTTGATCCACTCAAAATCGGCTCGAAACAAATTTGATCCATAATTTTGGCTCGTAGCTCAGCACATTTATTTCAATCTGATCTCAATTCAATCCAAAATTTGACTCAATTTTTTGAGCAATTAATGATCATCGAGCTAAATTTGCTAATTCCACTAAATTCACAGTCATATGTTGTTAATGATTCAATTTAGAGCCGAGCTGGGGTCAGCTCAAAATCGACTATAAAAAAGTTCAATCTAAAATTTTGGTTCGCAGTTCCACTTGTTTATTTTGTTCTGATCTCGACCCGAGCCAAAATTCAAATCAATCTTCGAGCAATTAATGATGTTCGAGCAAAACTCACGACCATAAATGTAATTCAGCTGAAATAGGAAAACATTTGGCAAACCTCCTAGTTGTTAAATACTAAAACCTAAATGCATTTTTCAAAGCAAATGAAAATGAAAATGAAAATGAAGATAAAAATTTACCATCCTTGGCCTTTTCAAGTAGCAAAGGAGTGGGAAGAGGAGAAAAATGGGAGTTTCTGGTCATTGTAAGCCGCAATCCCGCCCCTGCTTTTCCAGCTAGCTTCTATTCTGACTGTATTGTGAGGGATTCAGGGAAGAGATGAGGTCTTCAGACAGAGGGGTTAGGTGAGAGGCAACAGTTTTTGTTGGAGAAAATGAGGGTTGCGAGAGAAATTAGGGCAAGACAGGGAGGGAGGTGATATCTGACGAGATATAAAATTATTTTCGATGGCTTATAAACGACTTTAATTATGTCAGTTATTAAAACTATTACCGAAAGTTGTTCCCATCGCTTAATGATAAAACACATTGGTTAAATCTCTGTCAGATGGCATGTTCAAAAATAACCGACGAACTATAGCCGTTGGTTAACATTTTATAACTGACGAATTATTCTGTCGGTTATAGTTGAAACAAATCGGAAAAAAAAAATTGTTGATAAGCGTTCATTCATATTGCAGTTACGTCATTACAAATAATTAAGATAAAAAACCATCACCAAACCGTAAATAATTAGAACAATAATTCTGATGTGTAAAAAGTGGTTGGTCTTTCCGACGATTTTATTGTTTTTTCTGTAGTTCTAGTTCTTTAGTCAAAACTTGTTTTACCTATTACGAAGGTTGAGAACATGTTAGTCATGAAAGCGAAGTGATATGGAGATTGGGCCTACTAAATGACTTGAGAGTTGATCAGGAAACTTTGACAGTATTATGTAATAGTTAGAGTATGATATTCTTAACCACAAATTCAGTTTTGATGTGAAGTACCACTTTGTTTGGGATTTGATTGATAACGATAATAATCTGTTGAAAAAGACACATACGAAGAAAATCTATCAAACATACTCGTAAAGTTACTATCAGTTTAGAATTTCAACCAGTATAAGCGAACATCTAAGGTCATGATTGGTTGCTTATTATAGCATTTTGAAGAACTACGCAATGATTGATCTTTTCAGGAGGGGGATACATAGGCAATCATCTCGGTGCAGCCATTGTGGTGTTGGGGCTCCTTTTGGTCATCTCTTACCTATTTGAAAATGGGAGATGATGTGAATATTGTTATGAAAAATATTTAATCTAATTGTTAAAAATTACGAAGAGTTTATATTAGGAAAATTGATATAACTTATTCAAATTTGTGAAGATATAATAATATGATCATATCTATATTATGAAATCTAATTAGAGGAGATTTTTTCTTATAATTGAAATATTCTTATCATCCTCCCTTATTTATAAAAAAATTTATAAAGGATTTGGTGTGTGTATTGAGTTGTAACTCTAATTTGATTATTTTTTTTCTCCCCACCTATTGATAACAGAATAAGCTCTTCCCTTATAATTAAGCAGCTTCACACTGAACAACACAAATCACGTTGTGTTTGGTAGTTTGTTTGTTGTGCGAATTTATTTTCCTCATTGTTTTGCACAACAATGAGTGTCATGTCTTTTGTATTTCTGTATTCTCACAATCTATTGGAGAGAGACAATGAAGAGAAATGAAAGAAATCAAACTTACTATCATTGTTATTATTTTGAGCTAAAGGCTTGGTTTTTAATTATTTTAAACCTAATACTAATTATTGTTTGCCCTAAACCTACCATATTAAATCAAATTATATTTTGGTAATGGTTTGAATCACTTTTAGTAAAAAATTAGTTAATTCAATTTTATGGATTTCACATTTTGGTTTCACTAGATTTGATCAATCTATGAACTAATTACACTTTGTTTTTTATATATCAAGGAAAGTATTTTTTTTTCCTTTTTAAAATCATTAGCAAGTTCTTAAAATATAATTTATATAGCTACTTTCTTGCTTGAAAATTATTATTATTTTAATCTTTCAAATTTTAAAAGTAAATTTTTAATGTATTTTAATAATCCTTCCTAAGAAATACATCACATTCAAAGTTGTAATTGATGATATTTCTATCTACTAATGTCACAAGTGTGAAAAATTATTCCATGCAGACACCGCATACAAAGACTTATTTATTTACACCACCCAAAGCTTATTTATTTACATGTCTAACATCTGAAGTTTGATATTTATTTTTATAACACTTTGTTATAAGAAATATATACATTAAAAAGTGTACTTTACTTCTATAAATTTAGAAATAATGATATTCTTAATTTGATGTCAAAATTTTGAGTGATGCATCTAAATATAAAAATAGTGCCAAGACATGTAAATATAAGAAAATGAGTATTTACATACATGCCCCACAATTCTCTTATATTTACATATCTAACATCTAAACCTTCATATTTACTAACATAACAACATCACGTTAAAAATACCACTATCACTCTCATTTTAAGAGTGAAATACATATTTTTATGCATAAACTTTTAATACCAAAGTTTTAAAAATGTAAATATCAAATTTTAAATATATGAACATACTTATACATGAAAAATGTATTTCACATTTTAAAAGCAAAAATAGTTGTGTTTTTTACATAATATGAAAGACTTGAATGATATAAACGTAAAAAAATAAACATATGTAAATAAATTAAAATTAGATGATGCGTATGCAAATTCTCGAAGATAATAATAATAATAATAACAATTTTAAAGCCTTTAAAAATATACATGCATTCATCATCAAATAGCATGCAAATTGCATCCTACCATTTTTTTTCAAACATATAGCCCAAGCAAATGGCAAAGCAGATTTTAGAAATATAGGGCAGAAAATAAATTTAGAATGCAACTCAAGTTGCTTGTGCAAAGTTGAAAACTCTTCCAACAAGTGCCTTTGCCACGAGGAGAGCATGCCTTCAGAGTTTATAGGCATCAACTAATGATGATCTGCAATGAACTTTTTCCCTGCAGAAAACAATGCCTTGTCAGATTAATATAAGTATGTACAGTGAATTATTTAATTAAAAGAATGTTTTAGGAGCGGTTTAATCATAAAAATAGCAGCGTAGAGTAAACCAAATGCAAAGAGTTATGAAAGTTCACATGTTCGACTAAAGGGTTGTTTGATCAGTTGCGAAAAGAGTGGACTGTATTATTTCAAATGTTTGGTTGGAAGAAAAACAAAAAGTGTAAATTATAATGCATTTGTCATTCGTTCTCTAGTTTAATTTCAATGTATTTGAAATTTATTGGATTTGGGAGAATTCTAAATATATAGATTTGTGTATAGTGTTGCCCGCGACCATCACCACCATTGTTGCTGTCTATGCATGCTACAACCACTGACCCACTGGCCGTCAACCGCTTGCCTGCAGTTGTCGAGACACTCGCTGCAATCGCCCTAAGTGCCCCGCACATTCACTGTTGTCGCCACTGGTCATCCGCCGCCGCCGCCATTAACTACCAGTTAAAATGGTGCTTTTATGGAAGGTGATGGAAATCATACTACAACAGAATACGGAAATCAATAGAAGCCTAATAGAAAGTCAATACTGTATCGACATTGTTGATTTTCTACATCAAAACAGTGTCAAAACATTGAACAACTTAATTTACACTAAAGAGTTCATGGTCATACTTGGAATAAAGATGTCTTAAAACCAAATAAAATGCAGGAAAAATCAACCAGTGGCGTAAAAAATGCAATAAATTAACTTTGAATTCCCAACACACTCAAATTTTTTAAAATAGATTGAAACTTTAAGGCATACCACATATAAGATGCAGGAAAAAAATAGAGTAACAAAAACATGACAAACTTATTTTTGAACTAAAAAGTTCATGGTCATACTTAAAAATCATCTTTAATTACTTAAAACCAAAAAAAAATACAGAAAACAAAAGTAACAGAGATGAAAAAATGCAATAAATTAGCTTTGAATCCTCAACACATTCAGATGTTTTAAAACAGATTGAAATTTCCAGAGAGTAATTCTAACAAGAATACCAGAGTCCATGGCCATAACAAGTAGCACCACCAGTCTTATGATTACAATATAGGGTTGTATTTATAATCCTCTCCTTCCAAGAAACTTCTATAAAAGTACCATGACAAGCAAAATAAATTTCAATTCAACCATCATTTCCCATGGTCTAAATGGATATAAACAAAGTAATATCACTTTGCATAACAATATACGATAAAATACAGCATTATGTAGCAAACTTCTTGATTAACACGAGGAAGATTGGAAATGGAGGCCAAGGAAGAGTATCGGAACCAGTTAGTTATATTGCTTAATGGGATCATTAGAAAGAACTCAAAAGTATAATTTCACCTTGATGTGGTGGAATTCATCAATTCGATCCTAGTTTCTCTAAACCGCATGTGAGTTAGTATAAATACAACATCTACATCGTTAACTTTCAGGATGAGATAAGAAATACCAGGGCGAGTAGCTATGTGTGACTTGTACAACTTTTGCATTTTATATTTTCCGGAACTTAGTATAAGATTTTGAGTATGTACTTTAATTATGTTGGATTTTATGTTGGATTTAACAAATTATATATATATATATATATTGATGATAGAATTCCCATGCTTTCCAAGTATGTTCATATGAATGAATTATGAAATAAAATGCATTAAATATGTTTGCGGCAATTTAGTTTGACTAGTTCAACACCTACTGATTCATGATTCTACAAAGAGTAGGACTATTTTTGATAACAAATGAGTGAATAACACAAGAATATGGCCCAAGAGGGATAAAAAAGCTTGAGATGACCATTGCATGCAATTGCTTTTCCAAAATATCCGAATAGATGATTGTGTATCATAAAAACCAAATGAAAAAGAAAACTTTTCAATACTAGATTAACTATGATTCATGTAATTCTATTCCTGAAAGAAGAATAAAAGGAAAGCATGGAGCTTACAACTTCACACCAAGAACAATGCATTTACATACAAAAAGAAAATTTAATTACTCGATAGAGAGTTTCCAATCAAAAAATAATTTAGAAATCAATTAAAAAACAGAAGTAGTTAATTTTTATGTTTTGATGTTTTTAGTTGCTAATTTTCATTTTATATTTTCATATAAACAGGTGTGTGATGATGATAGTTATAGACAATGTATTTTGTCCTCTCATATTCAAGTTGGTCCAGTTTGGTTCATTGTTAATCTTCTTGCGCAGCAGCTTAGTTTCAGCGCTCGTCAGTGCTTTCACCCACTTGCTCTTCCCTCGCAGAAACTTGCAGTTATTTATCATTACTGGAGCAGCTGATTTTGTCGTTGAAATCATTGTTTACTATTTTTCTGAAGTAGCATAAGTTGCGAAGGAGCCACTGTGGCTGATTCAAGGATTCCACAATCTGTGATTGGATGTATCTAGGGGTGTAAACGTGTCGAGCCAATCTCAAGTCATGCCTAACCCAAGTTCGTTGTCAAAATGGAAGCATGAACTTGAGCTTGTGCTAGGCTCACAATAAGGGCCAGCAAGCTAGTGAGCCCGAGCCGAAAAATCAAATTATCATGAGAGCTCACTGGGGAAGGCATCGTTCGTTGGAGAAGAAGTGTCATGGCAACTCGCCGGAGTAGGCATTGCGTGACCATCATTGGTTAGTCGAGCTAGCTCGTGGGCTGACAACCCAACTTGAGCTAGTTTTATAAACAAGCTCAAGTTTGAGCTCGAGCTCATGGCTCGATAATCTCAGCTCACAACTTCAGAAACGAGTCGAGCTCAAGCTGACGAGACAGCTCAGCTCACATACCCCCCTAGATGTATCCTGTTAAAGATTTCTTGATGTGAGAGTTGCATGAATGTCACGTGAAGCAAAACTGGAAATGAACTGATATTTTTCAAACATATTTTGCGTATGTTGACAAACTTTATAAACACGTTATGGATAATAGGAGATGCATAAATGCTGCTACTAATTCGTTATAGTTAATGTATGAAAAGCACATCCGCAACCAATATAGGATGTTAGGGTAGATAAAACTATAATTTTGGCGTCCATTAAACATGGAGCATAAAGTTATCAAAATCAATGTAATAATTTGTGTATGGATGTTGAAATGTGGAATATGGCATTTTGGGTTGACCGTAGTTGCATGACATAGATGTTACTGACTTCGGAAGCTCTGATACATATGGGTTTAAGAGCAACGGGAGGAGGATAATCTTGAAACTATTAAGCCTAAGAGTTGTCTTATGTAAAATGCAAAAGAATCAAAGGCTGCTATTAAACTAAACCATGTTATGACTGAGAATATGTCTATACCTGGGGAAATTAATCAAGTGTTATCTAATTTAAAGATGCATATCACGATGATCTTCCCGTGGAATTAAAAACTCTTACAGATATAAAATCTCATTGATATAATTCATGAATTATCATTACCTACATTGCCACATAATAGGATGAATCCAATTAAATAATATTGAGCTAAAAATAGTGGCAGATGAACTGCTTTGACAAGGAAACATAAGGGTGGGGAGTAATTGAACGGAGTACAGTGATTTTATCTCTCAGTATGAACTTAGTTATTCATACTCAAATTTCATCAACATCCTAATAAAGAGCATATAAAATGTAACACTTTGAATGCAAGTCCTTGTAATATAGGAGTGCCATCTCCAAAGTGAATCCACTACTTGATTGAAAAAATAAAGAATTTAAATGAGCATAATATATAAATTTACAACACTTAACATATAAAATCCTTTATCAGTGGAATATTTAACTTCAGTATCCTAGCTTATTTTAATCCAAAAAATTCTTCCTTATTGCTGAAATCTAGAAGTTGGAGATTAATCTTTGCTGTTTCTATTGAATTAGGAATCATTTAATTCATATAATAGTTAAATTTTTTTAACAACTCAACATTTAAATCCATACACCATCAATGGCCTAGTTGTGATAACCTCTTACACTCAAAACTCCCAAGTCACTTATCATATTTAATAATTTATTCTTAACTATAAAATTATATCCACCTTCGTATTTATATATTCATTAATCTAGCTAATATTTGTTGCGAATTGTACCTTATTTAGGGTCCTATTGGTAAAAGAGGAATATTGAAGAGGTCTGGAGATTTAATTGAAAGATTTGTAACACCCTATTTAAGCCCATGTTATGAATGTACAAAGTAGGTTTTTAATATTTCTTTCTTTATGATATCAGAACAAAACCCTAGCCGTCTTGGGATCAGCGTATGAGTACAAGAGTCGAAGCACCCATCAGCCGCGGGAGGGATCACAACTAACAGAGCATCCAAAGCTCTCAATAGCACTGATCAATGCGAAACAGTCGCGATTAGAGCCAACTTGGACAACAACCACGAGATTGCGACGTGAAACCTAGCGACACAAACGCGACTAGAGCTAACTGGGACGACAACCACGACGACAACCACGAGATTGCTAGAGCTAACTGGGACGACAACCACGAGATTGTAGCATGGACACGATACAATCACAATTAGAGCTAAAAACCTGGCGATGCAGGCGCGACTAGAGCTAACTGAGATGGCAACCACGAGATACAAACACGACTAGAGCTAACTGGGACGACAACTACGAGATTGCGACGTGAAAAACTTGTGATACAGTCGCTATTAGAGCTAATTAGGAAGGCTACAAAGTGATCACAACGTACAAACACGAAGGATCAATTTCTTCTGTGATCTAAATTTAGATTCTTATGATTGTGGATGTCAGAAAATAGAGATAGTGCAGGAGAAATGATTTGAGATTCTGGGGAAAGTAGATCCCATAGCTAGCATCTCGACGGGAGCCATCATCTCGACACGTGCTCCAACACAGTTGAAACTTGATCTCCTTCCTGTAGATCTAAAATTCGATGCATCAGTCACATATTTGAGCTGGTCACGCCGGATCGAGGTTGCTCTAGTAGTGAAGACTAGAGAGCTGCCTGACGAGGGTCGAAC